TTGATAAAACGAAAATCTCGATAAGCCGAATAAATTGTCCCTTCCCGCGACCTTCGGCTTATCGAGTTTCACTTGTAATAATATTTATAATTGAATCGGATTTTTATTAGAATAAAGAACTATCCTAATTTATACTAATCATCGTTTCACTAAACTGTCCTGATTTTTGGATAGTTCGTGCGTTTGTCCTGAAATTTCGATATATTAGGACTGTCTAATTTTAGTTGTCGAGTGTTTGATTGCCGCAGAATCGGAGATGTTCGTACCACATAATTTTTATTTTAATTTGTTATCTAGAAACTAGGATAATGACAAGTGGCACGCTCCGTACACGATGTATAGTTCATTTTGTTGTATGTTGAAATAATTAAGTAAGTTTATAAGAATAACAATGTTGCACATGTTGAATTTTATTTATGGATTTCAGAGAATAAGTTATATTTGTAACTGTTATAGTTTGTATCAATGTTATTAGCATAATGAATAATTATTACAATTATAAGTCTGTGTAAGAATGATTGTTTAATTCGTGTCTCTTTTACGGGGGGGTTCGCTTGGGGTATTTTGGGACTTTAATCGTCAGTTCTGCTATAGAATTCGCCGATTGTTTAGTGTTAGTGGAATGTTCGGATGGTCGATTTTCATTTATATCGTTGTTTGGTTGATGTTCCGTTGTGGTTTCATCGGTTTTTTGTTTTGTGGAATTCGATGCGGGTGGTGTGTTTATTGTTTCTTTTGTTAACAGATAATCTGGAGCGTTTAGACGGAGAAATGCTGGTGGACGGAGTATTTGTCACAGGTTTGACGAAATTTGATAGTGATTCGTACTCGAATACGTGTAATTCTACGTAGAGTTTATCGTCCATGACGTCCGATTCTCCACATACAGTCACTTTCGCTCCCGCTCGCTTTGATGTTCTTGCTTGTAACTATTGGTGATGCGATTGGTGATAAACGGTGATTGTTTATTTGCGTTGTGAACCGGTGCTGTTAACATATTGAGTTGCTGAGACTTCAAAGACAGTCGTGTCGTTGCTTGAGTACGGATTTGTATCGATGGTCCCAAGAGTGCGTAACCATGTTACATTAGTTGGGAGGGACTACCCTTCATTCCCACTGCTATCTAATGAGATTTAATGAACCTTTCCCCAATACCCTTTCTAGATCTTCACCTTGTTCGTTCCAAACCCCACTCGTCTTCTAACCTACCAAGCTGTCATTCAATACTGTAATTCTCCTTTATATAATTATCAGTGCCTGATACAGCATCATAGCAGCAAAGCCGTCTATAATAACTTTTTACAAACGCAATTGACAGATGATTGATATTGGTGTCAATAATAAACGATGTCTAAAAGAGGGGTTAAAAAGTTTTTTGTGAGACCTGATATTTGTTTACAAAATTGCGTACGCGTTTTCCAAAGCCAAACAATAGCATAATAGAATCTGAGTGCTTGTGGGCATGCAATACTTTGTCCAGGCCGCTTCCCCTTCACCATAGTCGTGCTTTCTTTGTTAGACGCATTCCTGCTGAAATCAGTAAGGTAACTCGGCTGTGGGTACGTTATTACTGGGCATAACCTTCTATCGCTCATCCGTTCTACAAAACGCCTTAAAGGGAATCTAAACCATTGAAGCAAAAGTCGATCAGTTTATTGTAAATATTATGGTCGGGTCGTTCTCATAATCTTGATTCTTAAGATCGCACATACCGCTAATGTTCCAAGAAACACAAGCGTCATCATGAGAGCGACAGTGTAAACAAGTTTGTCTCAACAGTTCACCCGCATCACTGTCCAATGAAAACAAATCAGATAAGATCAGATACTAACGTGTTATCCACAGTCAGTCATGTTAACAGATGCCCTATTAACGTCAGTTTCACATGACCAGACGCGAGTTGTTTACAAAAACTCTACCATTATTGCTGTTGTTGGCATAAGTTCTTACGCCATGTGCGGCGGTTTCACTCGACCCACCAAATACGCAAAAACTCGACTTATGTTGATCTAAGCTCCCGATCCGCGTCTTCTGGATGATAGAGAGAAAAGCCTGAGAGCAGCTGTCAAGCTGTAATTACGAAATCAAAACCTAATTGGTATGTATGGTCTGGTCCATTGAGTTGCGTACTAGTATGAGTTGTTATATTAATATACTACAGTTTACTGAGATGCGTACATTAGTACGATTGTTCGAGTTGCAATGAGTTGCGATGGTTTATTGTTATGTATTGGTCTGACGATTCGGCTATAATAAGTTCGGTGGCTCGTACGGCTGAGACAAGTTGCGACGGTCTATTACTATGTTTTGTTGGTCTGGCATGTGGGATGGCTTGCGATTACGATTCGGGGCTTAATATTAACGTATAATGATAATAGACAACTAGAAAATACGGAAGCTAGTATCTGGGACTAATTCGGTAGCCTGTGGGTTTGCAAAGTATGTTTGCGTGGCAGCGAGAGATATACTGTATGGGAGTTGTCACGTGAGCGAAAAAAGTCTGCAGATGTCGGCCAAATATGTAGATTTAGCAACTATGAAGTCGGCGACGCAACATATAACGGACAGCTTCAACGGATAGCTAGCTTTAATACGGAGGCTTGTAGACTTAGTTCGGTGGTTCGTGTGGCCGAGACGTTCTTCGTCTATGCTCGTGCATGGCTATCGCTCGGAACTTTTTATTCACAACGGGTTGCATGGGCAGCGAGGGATATACTGTATGGGAGTTATCACGTGAGCAAAAAAAGTCTGCATGCAGACGGCAAGGGGATCGCACTACAGCATTACAAGCATCAAAGGCAGCACA